AGGGAAGCTACAGAGGAGAGAAAAGAAAAACAAGAAAGGAAGAAGGAAAAAAGTTATTGTGTTCGCCACAAGATGGCGCTGCTGGATTACTTTACTAAAGTTACAAGTGATTACAAAAATCGATAATAATGATTAAAATAACGGCTCATCAAATATAAATATTAATTCGATCATTTAAAAAAATCATTTTAAAAGTCTGTGTTATAAAATGTAGTTAAATGAAGCAAGCTGATAGAAGGAAAGAATAAAGAAAGGAAGGAAGAAGGAAAAAAGTTTTGGACTTCACCACAAGATGGCGCTGCTGCGTTAGAAGAAAATTTATTATAATAATATTACGGTATTATTATGGTTATTAAAGTTTATTAGAATAATAATACGTTATTATTATTATCATTATTATTATTAACGTTTTTGTTATTGCTTTAATTGTTATTATTAATATTATTATTAAAATAATGGAAAAAAGAGAAAGGAAGTAAGAAGGAAAGGTTTTGGTGTTCGCCACAAGATGGCGCTGCTGGGTTAACACTTATTTTGCAGAACGAGTTAGAAGAAATTATTATTATTATTAACATTATTATTAACATTATTTTAACATTATTATTGTTATTATTATGGAAAAAAGAGAAGAAAATGGAAGTCAGAAGGAAAGGTTTTGGTGTTCGCCACAAGATGGCGCTGCTGGTTTAGCACTTGTTTGACAAAAAAAAAAAAAAGCCAAGAGAAACATCTCCATTTTTAAAACCAATTTAACAATCGTTAAAATTAAGCATTGGTAAATCATATGTTATATTATAAAATATAGTTACGTCTAATGTTAATTTGAAAACAATGTTCAAACAAAGTTAGCTAGCTAAGAATAGAAAATGCCCCAAAATAAAACTATTCCTTGCGTTAGAAAACATCCCCAATGCCAACAAGCTAATATTAGAAAATGTTGGAAACCAAAGCTATTTAAATAATGTTTAACTAAAGTAACAAAACATTATAAAATAAAAATTATAAAATATCCCTAAAACGCTAGTTAGTTACATTGTAAAATATTCTTTAAAAGGAAGATAGATAACATTGTAAAGAAAAAAATTAAAGTTAGCTAGTAAATATTAGGAAATGTCCCTAAATAAATAAACCCCCTGCATCACAGTTTGATGTAATGTTCAGCTTTACAATGTGTTTTGAAATTCTAACATTTTCTTATTTAGTTTTATGAGTTGAAATACATTTTAAATATTTATAATGAATTATTTATTATTATATGCTTATATAATTATTATATGCTAACCAGGAATAGAAGTTCTAATAGAAGTAAAAATAATACCAGTTACGAATTATGTAAGTTCAACAGTTAAAGGAAACGTCCACCCTGAAACACGTTGCACACAGAGCTTCTTTTCTCGCATAACACCATATTAATGAGAAACCTAGCGGAGAAATAGCAGAGACATTTGTGCAAGCACTAGAAAATGTCAAAGTCCCAGAATGCAGTGCAGATATACGACTCGGTTGGGCTGAGTTAAGGCAGAGACTCGGCTCAGGATGACGAACGAGATGGCATTGCCCACATTATAAACGGGAATGTTGAAGCTTTGGAAACTGATCTGTTACAGCTGATGTGGCGAGAGAGCTGGACAGACTAAAGGACTAAAGCTCTGCTGCATTGTTCTCTTTAGGTAAAGATTAGGTGAGGGCTAAATCCTACTGCACCACTGTTAGCAGGTAGATGAACAGGATTGTGGGTAATGTAGGAAACTGTTCAGGGTGGATTTTTCCTTTAAAGGGTAAACGTCCTTGTACTTGCTCTGGTATTGATCCGTGTCTTTCTATAGATAACTGGGCACTGGTTTACGCTCAGCAGCTCGCTCTGGAAGAGAATTTGCCTCTACACGTGTGTTTCTGCCTCGTGCCACGGTATTTAGAGTCGACATATCGCCAGTACGCCTTCGCGCTCAGGGGACTGCAGGAAGTGGCCAAGGTAAACATCTCACTTATCGTTAATTTGAACATTCAACTCTGTGTGTGACAGTTTGATTCGGCAGTACTGTTATCAGCTGAGTGTTTACAGTTGTTTTGCTGTAGGAGTGTACAAGTCTCAATATTCAGTTCCACCTCCTGAGAGGCGAGCCTGAGCTGACGCTACCCGGTTTTGTGAAACACTGGGACATCGGCGCTGTCGTGACTGATTTTAACCCTCTGAGACTTCCACTGCAGTGGACTGAACGTGTGAAAAAGGAGCTTCCATCTGATGTCCCCTTCATTCAGGTTCACTCTCTGTCCCTCATCAAGCTGTAAAGCTGATTATATCCTTTCACATGGTGTTCATTGCTCTCCGTTCGCTCTTCAGGTCGATGCCCATAACGTGGTGCCATGCTGGGAGGCATCGAATAAGCTGGAGTACGCAGCGAGAACCATCCGAGGGAAAATCACCAAACTCCTCCCGGAGTTCCTCACGGAGTTTCCTCCAGTGGACATGCACCCTCACGTGTCCACCAAAATGGCAAAGGCAGGACTTCAGAATTCATAATGTTTTACATAATCGTCTTCCAGGCGATTTGAAAGTATCTGGTTATTTCTGGAGTGCTGTTGAATCTCCTGAGAACGAGTTACACATGTTGACTGGGTTAGCATTCTGACTATCATTAGAAATTGTGCCAAAAACAATGCTGTTGAAGGTAACATTGGAGAGTGCTAGCTAATCATACAAAATATTGCCAAACAAGGCTTGTTAGCCAACAAAAAAAAAAAATCCCCAGAATTAGCTAGCTAACCTCAGGTAATATCCCCAAAGTTAGCTAACGAACTTTAGAAAATATCCAAAAAATAAATAAATAAATAAATAGTTAGCTAATATTTAAAAAATTCCCCAAAATGAGATGGCTAGTTTTACAAAATGTCTTGAAATAAAGTTAGCTAGCTAACATTAGAAATAATCCCGACCAAAAGGTAGCCACCTCACATTAGAGTATATCCCCCCCAAGTTAGCTACTGTAGTTAACAAAACCAAGCTAGTTAGCTAACATAAAAATCACAAGAATTAGATGACTAATGCTTGAAAATAAAATCCTTTAGCTAATGTTAGAAAATTTACCTAAATAAAGTTAGCTAGCTAACATTAGAAAAAGTCTCACAATAAAGTAACATAAGACGTCTCTTCGTTTCCCAGGTGAATCGCTTTTGAGGACGATTTCTTTCATGTTGCTAGACTATTTATTATATTAGTGAGGTAGACATTTAAATAGATGATACTTTTGTCTGGTTGCTCTTTTAGAAAGTGGATTGGGAGGAAGTAATGTCATCACTGGAGGTAGACCGCAGTGTTGGGGAGGTTTTGTGGGCGCAGCCAGGGATGGCGAGAGGCATCGCCATGCTCGAGTCGTTTATAGACCAGCGGTTGCGTCTTTTTGCCACCGAGAGGAACAACCCCAACGCCAATGCGCTCAGCCAGCTCTCACCATGGATCCACTCAGGTGTGTGTGTGATGGTTCACATAAAAATGAATAAGCTGCTTATAAACAGATTATAACCTACAAGCTATCTCTTTCTCTCGCTCCTTTCTCTTCCGCAGGTCAGATATCAGCTCAGCGTGTGATTTTGGAGGTGCGGCGTTGGGGGAAACGCATGACAGAGTCTGTGTCCTCCTTCACTGAGGAGCTGTTAGTGCGCAGAGAGCTGTCCGATAACTTCTGCTTCTACAACGACAACTACGACAACATCAACGGTCAGTACACACTGCCAAAAGAGTGTGTTTAGTATCAGTGAAGGAGGCGTGGCCTCTGTGCCCTATTCTCAGCGAAGGAAGCGTGGCATCTATGCCCCAGTCTCAGCAAAAGAGGCGTGGCCTCTATGCCCCAGTCTCAGCGAAGGAGGCGTGGCCTTGGTGCCACAGTCTCAACGAAGGAGGCGTGGCCTTGGTGCCACAGTCTCAACGAAGGAGGCGTGGCCTTGGTGCCACAGTCTCAGCGAAAGAGGCGTGGCCTTGGTGCCACAGTCTCAGTGAAGGAGGCGTGGCCTCGGTGCCTCAGTCTCAGTGAAGGAGGCGTGGCCTCTGTGCCTCAGTCTCAGTGAAGGAGGCGTGGCCTCTATGCCCCAGTCTCAACGAAGGAGGCGTGGCCTTGGTGCCGCAGTCTCAGTGAAGGAGGCGTGGCCTCGGTGCCTCAGTCTCAGTGAAGTAGGCGTGGCCTCTGTGCCTCAGTCTCAGTGAAGTAGGCGTGGCCTCTGTGCCCCAGTCTCAGTGAAGGAGGCGTGGCCTCTGTGCCTCAATTGTAGTGAAAGAGGCATGGCCTTTGTGCCTCAGTTGTAGTAAAGGAGGTGTGGCTTTTGTGTCTCAATAAAGGAGGTGTGACCTCTGCCTCAGTCATAATGGAGGCATGATCTCTGCCTCAGTCATAATGGAGGCATGATTTCTGCCTCAGTCATAATGAAAGTGTGACCTCTGCCTCAGTCATAATGAAAGTGTGACCTCTGCCTCAGTCATAATGGAGGCGTGATCTCTGCCTCAGTCATAATGAAAGTGTGACCTCTGCCTCAGTCATAATGAAGGTGTGACCTCTGCCTCAGTCATAATGGAGGCGTGATCTCTGCCTCAGTCATAATGAAGGTGTGACCTCTGCTTCAGTCATAATGGGAACCCATCCTCATCTGGGTGACAAGGGGTAGTGCAATTATAAATAAGTCTGTTTATAACAGTCGGTTTAGCCTGCTTGTCTGTTCCCTGGCCTTGGCTCTGGATTGTCACAGATTAACTAGGCCTGTTCTGAGACTATGAGCTATAAGGTGGCCTCCGATGGTAAGGTAATTGTTAGAGCAATATCTTTCATCGGTGTAAACGGGGAGCTTCCACAGCACAGGGGTTGAATACTTATACAAGCAAGATATTTAAATTTTAAATTTTTCTTAAAAATATTTCCCAACATAAATCCAATGTCACCTTACAGTAATTAATTTTGAGTTTCAGTGTTTTTCAGAGTTGCACTGTCTTGTGCAACCCCAGTGGCTGGGGTAGGTTCCCTGGCCGGGAATCGAACCCGAATCGGCAGCGGTGAGAGCACTGTGGCATAACCACTAGTCCAGGGACCCCTAAAATCCCAACATGAAAATAGATATAAACTTGTGGGGAAAATGGTGGAACAGAATGTTTGGAGCAGAATGTTTAGTGTGCCGCTGTTTTGTGTTTTCAGGTGCGTATGACTGGGCAAAGAAGACGCTGCAGGATCATGCTAAAGATGCTCGGCCTTACCTATACACACGAGAGCAACTGGAAAATGCGGACACACACGACCAGCTATGGAACGCTGCACAGGTACATGAAGGCAGTGTTGCACTGAAGCTATGAGGCTAATGTTGCTAACAAGTAACAGAAGCCTATGTCCACCAGTTTAGCATCATTCAAATGGCACTTCTAGCCACGTTAGCTAAGTTAGCTTAATTCTTTTAATATATATATATAAAGAGTGTGTGTGTGTGTCTGTGTGTGTGTGACCCCACTCAGAGGCAGATCATCTTAGAGGGGAAGATGCACGGTTTCATGCGCATGTACTGGGCTAAGAAGATCCTGGAGTGGACGGCTTCACCCGAGGAGGCAGTGAACATCTCCATCTACCTCAACGATCGTTACGCGCTGGACGGCTGCGACCCGAACGGATACGTGGGTGAGTGTGTGTTTGTAGGTTTAGAGTTATCATCACAACCAGCAGATGAACTTATTCAATTTTGGAATTGATCCAAACAGGGTCATGGTCACAGCAAGGTCAAATGTCTGAAGTAGGTTCTCTTCAATTGCTTCCTTCTGGTGAAGTATATTTTAAGGGAATCTGAGGCGCACAAATTAGTAACAAGAAGAACTAGACTTGACTATTGGTGTTGAGTTCTACTTCTTTCTTTCTTTCATTGTCTTTTTCTACTTTTTCTTTATTTCATTTTCCGTGTCTTTTCTTTTTTAATGTTTAATTTTCTTTTTCGTATAAACGTATCCGTTTATTTTCTTTCTTTTTTCTATTTCATTCATTCTTTCATTCTTGTTCTAATTTTTATTCTTTCATTTTCTTTTTCCTTTTTATTTATTTATTTTTATTTATTTATCCTTTCTTTCTTCTTTCCCTAGTTAAAATTTTTATTCTTTCATTTTCTTTTTTTAATTTTTAATTCTTTCATTTTCTAATTTCTTTCCTTTATTTCTTCTTGTGTGAGTGAGTGTGTGTGTGTGTGTGTGTGTGTGTGTATATATATATATATATGTATATATACACACACACATTCTTTTGTATGTATATTTTATTGTACCCTGAGTTGTTGCTGTAATGTTTGTCTGCAGGCTGCATGTGGTCCGTCTGTGGGATTCATGACCAGGGCTGGGCCGAACGGCCAGTTTTTGGTAAAGTACGCTACATGAACTACGCAGGCTGCAAGCGCAAGTTTGATGTGGCCCAATTTGAGAGGACGTACGCTGGGAAGAAGTCCTGAGAGGGAGGGAGGGAGAGGGAGAGGGAGAGGGAGAGAGAGAGGGAGAGAGAGAGGGAGAGGGAGAGAGAGAGGGAGAGAGAGAGAGAGAGAGAGAGAGAGAGAGAGAGAGAGAGAGAGAGAGAGAAGTGTTTTTATCTCCCACACATCTACATTAGGGCTTTTAGAAGATTTGTGTTCCAGTTGCTCTGTTGCTTACCCACATAACGCACTCTGTCATTTTGAGTCATTTGGAGTTTTACATTGCTAGAAGTCTCAACTTTCTGCTAAAACTGGCAGGGTGTGTCTAAAACCCCTTGTATTAACATTCTTTGTTAAACATCAGGAAAGGAGTTCAAGTTAATTCCTCTAGAAATAGAAAATCTAATTAAGTGAGAGATATTTCTGACGGTTTGTGTAGCTGTAACTGGATCAGTGTAATTAAAATATTTGTGTTACAGTTCATACTAACACTTTCTAATATTACCTGTAAGTCTAAGCACAGAATAACTTTCATACTTATAGCATGCATAAAAAAAATACTCATTTAGAGTCATTTAATACATAGATTTAGGGATTTTTATGGAACAATTGTTTCATTTTCTTCTTGTTTAATAGACAATAGTGGGTAAACTTTGATAAAACGCAAAACTTTTGACTATCATCATATATATCCATACCTAAATGTCTGTACTTTTCTAATAAATTTGTCACACTACTTTGTGATGTACTGTGTGGCTTTTAAGGTGTTTTTATTCAGACAGACTCACTGACTGGCTGACTCATTCACTCACTGACTCATTCACCGAGTAATTGACTGATACTCTGACTGATTCTTTCACCCACTCTCTGACACATTGACTGACTAATTGACTCACTCACTAAATGACTGACGCAGACTGACTGACTCACTCTTACACTGACTCATAAACTTACTCACGGATTCACTAACTCACTCATTGATTCACTCACTAACTGACTAACTCACTACATTAATGACTCCGTGCCTGACTCACTCAGAAGCTCCTAATCGACTCACTCACTGACTGACTGATTCATTGACTCACTCCTTCACTGACTCGCAGATTCACTCACTCACTGACTCGCTCAAATCTTCTACAAGGTTCATTTCATGACACTGCCCTGTATTTTATTACTGTCACTTGTCCAATATTCCATTCCAGACGTGCATTTATGTCCACATTTCTAAACTTTTTTTTTTTAATATGGAAGAACTTGCGAAGGCCGTGTGATTATATTCTGTGGGATTTATTGGGTTTAAATCACTCAGAATGGTAAAAGATATAATAGTCAAACATTTCCTGGTTCATAGCTCCTGTATGATTTTGATCACAACAGTCACATGTATCTGAACTTTATGAGACATAAAAATACAACACTTAAATCAATCTGTTTGTCCATTAGAGCCAGCCACGCACAGCTTTACCAGGATTTCATACAGACATAGAGAAGGACATCAGTCATAGCCATGTATGGACGAGTCTCTCTGTGGTTTAAATACTTGGAGCGTCAGTACAAAGCTCTGTTTTCCTTCACAGCCTAGAGTTCCACTCAGCCGGGCAACGCGAGGAAGAGTTTACTGGCACCTCAAAACTCCAAACAGCATCATGGTCTCATTAACTGTGAAACCTAGCAGTGAGGCCATTTCTAATATTTGTATTACATAAATTTAAAAAAATGTCCTGTACAATCTCATAAATACTGATATTTTACCTTTAATAATATGGAATACACAGAGTTAAGACCAAGACTAGAAGGATAAGTGGCTAAGCTGAGCAGATAAGAAGAAAAAGAACATTCCAGAATTGTCTTAAACACAAAACTTATATCAATTCAGAAAGGAGAGGCAAAAGTTCAGGATTTCAGAAGAAAAGAAATTTTTTGCTTGAAAGAGCGAGTTCTTGAAAATCCATGATTCTGAGGTTAAAAAAAAGTTTACATTTTCTTTCTTAAAGACACATTTGAAACATCCATGTTTTAATATGAAAACATTTAACACAAGAAAGGTCTTAAATCTGAAACAGAAATAAGAAAAAACATTTTCATTAATATATGAAAACGAATTCATGTATGTACAAAAATTCATATTAATTAATATGTATTCATGTATGTGAAAACAATATACAGATATTAGCAAACAGTATTAGCTAATTGTACTAGATATCTAATGTTATGCTAGCATGTCACCACCAGCGCTAGTAACACTGCTAATTCTGTACAAAAAGGTTTTTAATCGTCACGTTTATGTGACAGAACATAATAATCTGTTATATGATATTTTGTGATATTCAACAGACACAAAGCCAAGCTATGGTTCTATTTCTACTGTTGTATTTGTACTGTTGTACAGTTGTATTTGTAGCTAGCTAACCTAGCTTCCCTGAGAGACAGTATAAAAATCTTGCTAGCAGCATTAGTTAGCTAGCTGTGTTTCAGTTTGGTCTTTAATACTACTATTTAAAGAGTCTGTTTTTGTTTCTTGTTTTTTTTCCCCCTAAAACTGTAGTTATCTGAGTGAAGAACTTGCAAGTAATTTTATGCCTGTGAAATTATGAAATTAAGGTATGGTGCTAATGAATGTGGTGCTGATGAAGGTCATTTTTGGTACCCAATGAAAACAAACAGCTAAATACATGTATGTAGTGTTTTTCTAGCTAGTATTTCAGACATTGACATGAGAGCATCATGGATGGTAACTTGGCGCTGTGCAACATATTTACAATGTTCATTCCTTCATCTTTAGTAACTATTTTATCCTGGTCAGGATTGATGTTTTTTAAATTGCTAATTTGTTTATATTTTGAGAAAAGGATCCAACAAAAGCTGCCTATACACTGTATGAATTTCGGCCCAATTTTGCTGTCGTGGAAAAAATCAATCATCATGAAAGAATTCTTTGGTTGTGATTAGAAAAATAAGTGTGAAGAAAAATAACTGCAAATAATAAGCTCCAGTAAAAATAAGACCTGAGTGTATAGTACCAACACCACTGAACAGCATTTCCCCAGTTTATTTCCAATCAGTTATTCTGTATCATCAGTTCTTAGACCTCTCGTAATACTTCAGTAAGTTTGCAGAAATAGGCCCACTCTCCCATCCTTCATCTCTATACATTTACACATGATGATGTGTCTTGCAATAGTCTTACCTCTTCATAAAGTACTTAAGTTAGCACTTACACACACACACACACACACACACACACACAAACAAACAACAACAAAAAAAGACTCCCAACAGAGTTTTGGGCTGATGGTATTCCTAGTTTGTGACCTAGTGAGCCAATATCAGAATGTATTTTTGATAGACTTCAAAACACTATTGTAAGTCGCTCTGGATAAGGGCATCTGCCAAATGCCATAAATGTAAATGTAAATGTAGTCTGATTAACACATCCCCGTTTTTCTCACACTGTGGTGCGAAAGGTAATCTGCGTATGGTTGAAGTTCTGCTCGTTCTTTCGGCATGCGACCTCCCGGAACAGCTCTCTGAAGCGTGAGGACATGAGGCTGTACAGGATGGGGTTAACGGCTGAGCTCAGGTAGAAGAACACGCCTGAGATCAGGTGAACGAACTCGAAGACGCGGTATTGGTCTTCACTCCAGTCATCGATGTAG